TGTGTGTGTGTGTGTGTGTGTGTGTGTGTGTGTGTGTGTGTGTGTGTCTGTGTGTGTGTGTGTGTGTTAACATAGTAAATGCCAAGGACAGGTCAAGGTGTCATGGCAACATTAATGTGAAGAGGGGAATCTCCTTTCCTTCTCGCCTCCTCTTGTTAGGAGACCATGTTAGGAAAAACCATACTGTATAAAAAGAAGTGGACGTAGTGGCCGTCACGCTCTTGATTTGACCATGACCATAACCTCATGTTTACAATGTTTACTGAGGAAACAATGACGTTTTCTCAAAGGCTTCCATACAATCAGACTTATTTTAATGATGGCCCTTAGATTCATGCTGATTTAAGGCACTTCCGCGATCACTTTACAGAACCGAGGGTTGCCATTGGGACCTAGTATGTGGACCTTGTGTCAAGTTTATTGTCCCAGATCATATTTTTGCATTATAAAGCCAATTGTGGTAGCAAACTCTTTAATCCCAGAAAAGATGAGGACCTAAAGTTGAGCCCTGTGGGACACAGTTTATTATTATTTTAAGAGTAGGGTTAGAGTTAAAGGGGGAATTTATGTCATGCAGTTTACTTCCTGTATGTACTGTTAAGATAACATAATTGATGTGTTATAGTGCTGCAACTTACCGGCCACTGTGACCTTGGCGGTCCGGCTAACAATGCTACCCAGTCCGTCCAGTGTGGCGAGGCACTGGTATGCGCCCTCATCGGGTCGGTGGTGCCGTGAGTGCACCACGTTCTGCACCAGCAGCGAGCCGTTAGCTAGCTGCTGCCGCCGCTCGTCCACCACCGTGCTCAGCAGCACGCCGTCCTTACGCCATGTGATGGCGGGGGGTCCCGCCGCTGCGTCGGACTGCGCCTGGCAGTCGAGCTGCAGCACGCCACCTCGCACCGTCACGGTGTCCTGAGGCTCTTGGCTGAAAGTGAAGTCCACGAATCCTCCGAGACTAGGCAAGGAGGAGGAGGAGAGGGAGGAAGATGAGTAGGCGTCTGAGGCTAGAAGAGGAGAAGAGATGAAGAGGGGTTAGATGGAGGAAATCATAACCCATAGGATAGTTATTTATTGATGCAAATACTCTCCATTATATAAACTGACAACAGAGCTGGAGGCAAACACAGGTTCATAACAGGGATGTGCCATACTCAAAATATGATATAATCAATCAAAACAAAATAATTAAATCAGTAAGTATGGAGGTAAAGAAACATCTCATCTCACGCAGGATCAAAACCAATCAATACATCCGGGCAAAACGGAAATCAGATTCAGGGCCCAAGGCCTGCGGGGGGGCAGAGACCCCACAACAAGGCTGTGTCTGCATGAGGTACTTTACTGCAGACACCACGTCTTGCCTCAGGCTTCATATGAACATAAAGCAGCTACATTATTAATACATATTTATATTTTATCATAACAATCGATGATATGACCACATGCATCACCTGGTCAGCACCAAACAACAAGCAGACATCGTTAGAAACTAGCCACTACAGTAGAGTTTAGCTAACAGATATAACAAATATAAACCTTTTCATGTGCTCATCTTTCCCCACATGGACGAGCATATTTCACAACTCGCAGACAATTTCCGTTTGGTCGGACCCACATGTGGCTCCAGGTGTGGAATAAAATCCATAACCCATAATGCCTCTCTCTGCACGATGTTACAGTCAAAAGCATTTTTTATTTTTTGCAACAGCAGCAGGCATAGAAGGACCACAAATTGCGTTTATATTCTCATGCTTTAATCTACATATTAATTTTATTCATGTTTGCGGCTGATCTATTTATTCATATCTGTAATTAGTTTTGTCAGATGCTTTTCTTCACAGCAGGAAGCACGTTTGAGTTTAACCTCCGACCGGTGGCGCTTTGCTCTGCAGGATAACTCACCGTCTCTTCCAAAGCCACATCAACCTGCTGTATTCTTTGTTTTTATGATTTTATATTTGGTATAATCTTGTGACAGGCTCAGACGCCGGCAGCCTCTCCTCGTGTCTTTGATGCTAAAAGAGTCTTTCATCCTGATCAGAGAGGCAGTTTGTTCCGGTCAAAGCCTCCGTTCAGCGTCTGCGTGTTTCCTGGAAAGTCTGAACAGAGGCTGAGAACAAACTGGAGTCCCGTCACAAAGTTGACTTTGAAGGGCAGCAGATGCTCTTTTTCTTTTTTTGATTCTGCTACTTTGCGTTTAAACCCTCACAGCTTCAGTGTCTCCTGCAGGAAAACTCTGATCAGACGAACATCAGGTCTAAAAAAAAAACGCCTCTGGATCTGTTCCCAACTGGGGGCCGAGCAAACAAATTGAGAACGCTCAACATAAAAGCAATTCATCAGAGCTTCTTTTCTTGCTGTAATAGTCAAAACACATTGTTTGAAGAAGAACCAGAATCGATAAGCACAGGGCTGGAGGCAAGATATTAGAGATAAGTCTTCTTCCTAACAACTTCCTCTGCTCTAAATGTCTCTCGTTCATTTTAATTTTGGGGGTTTTTCATATTTTATCTGTTAACCTAAATGCTCAGTTATGAGTTCTGCAAGTTTCCTGTCAACAAGTGCTTATCAGAGGAGGCTGGTCCATAGACGACGTTGCTCCTCCTCTCCTTTTAGCAAAAAGGAGATCAAAATATAGAAAGGTGTAATTGTCTGAAATAAACCATTACCAAATCTCAGTACAATTCATAAAATATTTCATAAAAAACATCTAATATTTCCTGATTGATTCTGATTGAAATGCTTCAACAGTGACACCTGCAGGACTGGCAAGAGGGCGGCACAGTAGGGCGGGACCTCTTTTATATATTTAATGTTATCACATTTTTTTCATGCTAATATGTGATTGGCCTAAACAAAAAACAAATGGTGATCCAAAGGAGGATGTCCCCCCTTGCTACTGAAGAAGTCGTTGATCACTTGAGACCCTTATCAGCTGGTTACGAGCCACTAGGAGTCAGCAGTCACTGACGGAATGAAGCAGTCTATAAAATATTTTCAAAAAAGTGAATCGGTGTAAACTGCAGAGGTCCTTCAGCATACAGTCATGAATGAGTAGCAAAAATATTAGACTGATGGGTCCGAGATTACCCGTGGACAGACACGCACCAACATGACCCGAACCACAGACTATATATAAGAAGTGGACGTCATCATCGTGACGTCACCTTTTGGTTTGTGGACTGATGTTTTGAAGCCTCCAGTTCGGTGATTTGGCCGCTGCCATCTTGACTTTTTGCAACCAGTGAATGGAAGTGACCGTATTAGGACTGCTGAGAAGTAATGTGGAGACGCCGTATACGTCCCTGGTAGCGGCAGCAACCTGTCAATCACAGTAGCCCCGCCCTAAAGCATACTCTGCTTTATGGTCTATTTGACTCTAAATGGACCATAATGTACTAAATGAACATCATGCTGTATTGAAGACTAGAAACTAGAGATTGAGACCATAAACTCATGTTTACAATATTTACTGAGGTAATAAATCAAGAGAGAAGTAGAGTCATTTTCTCATAGACTTCTATACAATCAGACTTATTTTTGCAACCAGAGGAGTCGCCCTGATGGACCCCATTGGCTTCACTTTCCAGAACCGGAGGCTGCCGCCTGGACCGAGCGCATGTAGAGACGATGAGAGACGTGATTGTCTTGTGCCGCTTTCAGATAATGGACAACGTTATTCATTACTCTGTCCCTTTAATTTGTGCGTTAAAAAGTTGATTAAGATACAATAAAATACAAATAAATCAAGGAGGCTCTCTACAACAACTCTTGTCATTTAGTCAACAGTTAATCCCAGACCATAACGTGCCAGTTTAAATGAGCAGAAACTGTTTTTTTTAACTGCTTTTTAAAGATTGATCTGAAATGAGAATAATCGCCTTATTATAACTAGATATCTGCTCTTTCACGGTGTTTTATGCTTCATCCAAATACATTTTATTTTCTTTGTGCATAACAGATGAATATCGAGATAATACATGCATGACAGAGGTCTTAGAAGGCGGCACAAGGAACACGTCTCTCCCGTCTCTACATGATGGATCTGCTGTGAAGGCCACCACCCCTCAGTTGCATTTTTAAATGTACTAAAGGTAAAGCATTTTATTTCCCAGCATGAAGGTCTGAATGCTGTTTTAAAACTAAGATGACTTCAGGTGGACAATTAATGAATCATTTAATGTATTATCTGATTATTTGTATATTTCTGGCCGAAGAAATCTATACAATTTTAAATAAAGCTTGTCTGAAACAAAGTTTCTAGAGAAATTACAGGACAGGACATGTCCTGAGTGTCCTCAACTATAAGCAGAGCAGTTAAGCAGAGTGAGAACAAGGACATCTTAACAATACCATGTACTGGACACCTTCCTCCATTACTTTTCCTTCATTATTTACAGCTTATTTTTCGCCCGTCTTCCTTTTGTTTCCATATTCCCTACCTTCCAATTTTCCTCCCCTACCCTCCCTACCTTGTTGCCCTCTGTCCACCTTCCTCCCCTTCCTTCTCTCCTTCCCTACCCTTTCCTTCCTTGCTTCCGTTCTGTCCACCCTTCTCCCCTACCTTCTGTGTCCCTCCTCTCCTATATTCCGTCTCTCTCTCTTTCTTTTCCTTCACGGTTTCCTTCTTATTGATTCCCCTTCAGCGGTCCTCCCCCTCTCTCTCTATCAGTAAATCACCATCTTGACAGCTCTATCTGTACTCACCCCCACCAGTCACACACACACACACACACACACGCACACACACACACACAGTCAGTTCATCAATGTGTCCTTGTCCTCGTTGTCCTGCAGTTTGATGCTATCACTCTCTGTCTGCTCTCTCCTCACTGCCTCTTGGTCATTGTCTCTTCATAATTCACCTGTAACATCGAGCTGGTCTAAACTTCCATATTTTCTGGACAAAAGAATTGACTACTGAATAATTTCAGAAATAACTTCGAAATTTCCAGGAAATTTCCAGGCAAGGATGATGTGTTTCTGTGGGACAATAGCTACATACAGTACATGATGAATTCAGTGTTTTAGTCAGAGCACAGCAGGGCAGCTGAGAATGCAGAGCTGTGAACCATCAACAGCTGAACGATTCAACATGTACAGAGTGTTTATTGTGATCCACGCATCATAAAATGATATGTGCTTGAGTTTGAATTGAGATTTTGAGGGAAATTCTTAGTTTCCCTTCAAATTAAAAAATGTATAACTACATAGTTCTTTCCAGGAAACTACCACGGACATCTTAAAGACAGTTTTTATAAACCTTTATATTTTAAGACTTTGTCAGGGCTTACAGATTATGTGGGTCCAAACCAAAACAGACCAGGAAAAACCTTCCCCAAACCTAACATGCATAAATACATTTTCAAAAAGAAAAGGCCACATCCAAAAGACGCTGAGACAGTGAGACCTGGTCTATAACAGTCCTAGGGCAACACCTTCTCACTCCCAACACAAATACAAACGCTTGGTTAGTGGCCCTACTCTTCAACCTACGCTCTACATACCTCTCTAGCATCAGCTTTGGACGTGTCAGGGACATTACATGCATAGTCTCTTTTCAAAATAAAGTTCCATACTTAGTTTTTAGTTTTATTTACGCAAAGAAAACACTTTGTGGTTTGGCTTCAAGTGAGTATGTTTGCTGGCTAAGATGAGTTTGTCTATTACGTAACTTACACGAGCAGTATTAGTTAAGTATATGTATACGTTACCTAACAGAGGTAAGGTCAAATCATAGATTGTATATGAAATGTACCGTAGTCGTCATGGCGTCACCCATTGGTTTGTGGACTACAGTTTTGATCTTTGAGTTTGGCATTTTGGCCAATAAATCAATATGGCTAATAAATCAAGTGAGAAGTAGAGTCATTTTCTCATTGACTTCACAGAGGAGTCGCCCCCTGATGGCCAGTAGAGAGAATGTAAGTTTAACACACTGCTGCATTGGCTTCACCTTGTAGAAATGGAGGATGCCGTCTGGGTCAAATAAGCCAACGTTGAC